TGCAGTAGGCGTGATCAGAGAAGCACTCACTCTCTGATGCAATGATGTGTTCTGATGATTCTGGGAAAAGGTCTTCATTGTCACATATCATTTGAATTTCAGTTGCAAAACATGAATCTTCCCCGGTACTTTCATAGCAGATGTTTGTCAGGTCATTATGAAGTTCTGTTTGCGACAATTGACATTCAGTTTCATGTCGATCGCAGTGATTACAATCAGAACTTACCACAGTTTCCACACTGTCACCACTGTATGATGGGGAAGATGTGTTTTTTTGTTTAAAGTTGTCACATTTATCTAATGGTAAAGATGCAGCTAATATGTCACATTCGTTTACTGCTGACTGTGCACACTTGTCTTTTGAGGCAAAGTCATCAGTCAGGTGACTTCCTGCAGAACTAGAAAACGAATTATTTTCTAATCCCAAATTTATGCCATTATTTTCACAAGCTGTTTCAACTGTGACATTTGCATGGACAGTCCCTAGCGAAAATGAATGCATAGTTGTTTGAGCCAATGATGACTTGTTTCTGTGAGTTACCTCTGTTGATTCAATAGCAGAGTGCAGCCTGTATTCACTAAAAGATGTTGCGCATTTATTATTTATTTCTGGAGAACTAATCTCCGAAGTACTCGATCTTAACGTTACCGTTATTTTGGGATGGTCCTCTGCATAGAACGAACTATTTACACTTTCAATTACGCAAATGCAGCCCTGTTCGTCTTTTATGGGTTCCATTTTAAAAACGCTTTTTAGAGGAGGCAAACCTGAAACGACGTTTCTATCAAGATCACAGATCTCCGCCATCTGGCGTTTCGTAATTGACTGCAGCGATTATTTGCGGGACGATGTTTTTCCTTGCAACAGAACAAGTGAAATTAAAGCTGTTACTCGCAGGTCGTAGATGGTGTTTGACTGATGGACGGCATCACTCTGACGTCTGGTGTAGTTGTTTTCTTATTTACCACCCAAATGTATCGGAGAATTCTATTGGTCCGGCTTTTGTTTGTTTCTAGCGTTTGATTGGCTAAGGCGTGTATAGTTCAGCCGCGCAAGTAGTTTAGTTGTATGTACACTTGTCGTTACGGACACAATTAGTGTGGCAGTAGATACACATCTTACACTACAAAATATTTGCACTTTTATTAAAATATTGTTAAGTCGGAAAAGAGTATAAAATAATGTATTATTTATCTAAGCATTCACCGGCTGTAAACTCCGACAAAAAGTTTTGGTGTTCACCCACATCTGGGCATTGGTCCTGCTCCAGGACTTGAGTTTTGCGTGCAAATCCATTTTACAGATCTGGCTTATTTGTATGCAGACTGTTGGTTCCTTGCCTCCCACGCAGTTACACTCCACTTCGAAACAATCCATGTCTCCTCCCAGCGTTTTCAGTATAATCTCTAATTTTCGTCTCCTTTGATTTCTCTCACTCGTTAGGTTCCACTGCATGGACATTAAAACAAAGATTATCAGGTTTTCTTAATTTGTCGACTTTTCAGCTCCCACAACCCATGATTTGCTGGAGTTTTTCCAGTTCTTTCCCAGTGTTTAGTTTTTTTTTTTTTTTTAACAGAGCTCCACGTTAACGATCATACCGCACCATTTAATTTCCTCTACTTTGCGCGGGCATAAGCTAATGAATATTTCGGCACTCTTCCGAATACCGGCCCCATATTATTTGCTGTCCAAAACATTCCTGTTAGAGCCTCAAAGGGTTCAAGAGGTTACAAAGAGGTCAAGGGGTTATAAAGAGGTTATACAAAATATGGAACAACAAAAAATGGTACAATAGTGCCGTTAATTGCGGCCATCATCATCAGTTTCCACATCTGCGCGTTAAGCGTTGTGAGAAATAGTTTTCTCGACTGAAGTGACGTGGGGAGGAATTATTTTCGATGGAGCGCTGAAGTGACGTCCGACACAACAAAATATGGAACAATACGTACCAATAATGCCGTGAAATAATTGAGGCCATCATCATCAGTTTCCACATCTGCGCGTTAAGCGTTGTGAGAAATAGTTTTCGGGTAATTTCGTTCAAACGAAATTATATAATAAAAGAAAGCGTAGTTTGTAGTGTTCCTGTTCCCTATTTTTAACTACATGACCTCTCAAGTCCCTAACAACGACCTCTTGAGGCCCTGAATGGGATTTTTTGTCTTTGAATAATATGGGGCCGGTATTCGGAAGAGTGCCAATATTTCTAGTGCATTCTTTCAGTAATTCAAATTCTCCAAATTTCTGCTTTCCATACTGTAGCATCGATTTGCTGTTAGTGTTTTATGTTTTAAGTTTGGAACAAGTTTTTATAATTCTGAATTCAATGTCCATCCATTCTAATGCGGTAATGTACAAAACAATTTTAGACGAGGCCACAGTTTTGCAGAATCTCTGGTGTGCCTACAGCTTTTTTTTTTTTTTCTCCCTCTCTTAAGTTGACTCCTTTTCTTAACAATGGTCGTCCCCTTGCCATGAACAGGTTTACTTACAAGTAAATGCGTCTCTGATTTTCTTGGCTTCACTGGTTTCCTAATCTTGGCCACATTTTCCTGCTGCCTTTATTAAGCTGTGTGTTGTTGCTATGGTAACGATTAAAGTGTTAAGTGTGGTTACGCGATGTTATGTAGAAAAGGCTGACCGCTGGACGTTTTCTCTGCGGGAGAGGATAGTTTTTGGGTTTGCACGAAAGAAATAACATTCTCGGGTTTCTTATTTTGAAAAACTATCATTTTTATATTAACTATTATGTCTTTGTTTATTACAATTATAATACTGTAGTATTATGCCATAATAACAATTACGGTATTATTACTGTCATTGTTTACATTTAATTTATGACCTGGAAGTTTATTGTTCACGGTTTGGATACGTTTCTGTCCCTCTTTTGCTTTCCCCAGGAGGAGATTGTAATTTGTATCTTGTGTTTGACCGCAGATTGTAATTTGTATCTTGTGTTTGACCGCATATTTAATACCGAACACATATGGTTCACACATAGAGTGTGTCAGTGACTACCCTGAATTTCCAAGCTCTCTTTATCCCTTTTAGTTAGATAAAATAATAGAAGACATCTGTGCTGACTTTCTGAAAGTCTCAGGTCTGTTAATCATTTATATAGTATTACTGTGAAATGTGTGCTTCACTTATTCAATACCATACAGCTCACTGTGAGTTGCCAAGGCCTTCCTTACATGATATGTTTTAATCAGTTTCTTGTGCACTTTGAAGCGGAAATATAAACTTCTTCTTTCATAATTGTTAATGAACATTTTATTTTGATGTGTGAGTTCCACACCAATATTATTAGAACATTTTAGACCTAAAACTTTATTATTTGAGGTCACTTTTCTGTAAGGTGTAGTAAGGTGTATAAGTTTAAAAAAAAAAAAAAACATGCTGGGAATGACAGGTTCATCCTTGTTTTTGTGTGTATATGATCTCTACAAGGATACAGAAAAACAGTTTTTTGCAGCTTATGTATCCAAGAGCCAGGATCCTCGACTCCTGGTGTGTTCAAGACATGTACGTAATCAGCACTGCATGCAGTTGTCCCACAAATCTACCCCAGTTTGAGGTGTGCCCATCTTTCAAATCCATACAAGACACACTGACCGCGGTCCATCTACCGCCTCAAGTGTCTTTATCCTGTTGTCCATTCAAAGTGTACCTTCAAAACATATGGTCAGTGCTGATTGGAAGTCTGCTCCTACCTGGGAGCCAACATTCATGTTGCTTGGATTTGAACACATGACTGACAGGTTCCAGTCACTGTGGAGGATAGGCAGGCTGACTGTTTTTAGTCATGGCAAGTTTTTGTCTCTGACAGTAGTAGGCGGTTGTATTTTACTCCATATGTAGACTGAAAGGATATACTTTAATTGCCCAGCTAACGAGTTGAGTGCTTGTTATGACACTGTGAGCTGCGAATTTTATTGGGAGTGATTTTTTTACTGTGCCCAATATGGTTTGTGTTGTAAACTGTAGATTCAGAAAAATGGTGAGTTGGCCTGTTGCCAAGAACTGGTGGTTCCTTATGTGATTAATCTTATTTGCAACTGATCATGTTGTAAATGCTGCTTCCTTCGACAATGAACTGCATCTCTAATGTTGGACATGTTTGTATTGACACTTATGATGGCTGCCTTATGCATTTAATGTGTGTGTTTGCTTTTGCTAAGACTTGTGTCAGTTTTGCCACAAGAGTTGGGGATGGACATTCTGTGTGGTTTTTGTTGGCACACAAACAGAGCAACTATGGGTTGGCCCATTTGGTGTGAAATTAGAACTGAGATTATCTGATTAGTGTTGTGCGTCTTTTGACTTGACTGGGATGTAGCCGGCAACTCTTCACCATCCATTTGGCCTCTGATGTCTCATTGAAATCCATGGTGAATGTCCTTATCGCCATATTGGTTGCAGTCTGCCTTGTCCTTGGCTTAAGGAGCTACATTTCCCCCCGTCTTAGGCTGTGTCCAAGCCATAAGCGTCTTCAAATTTTTATTACTTTGAAAAGTTGTCTATGTTCTTTAGTGTGTTGATGTTGTTTTCTTGTTTTTCTATGTTTATCAGTATTTTGTCAGTTTATCACATCTGCTCCACCTTCTCATCCATTTGAATGATAAGATTGTCACCGAGCTTCTGATATTGTGGATTTTGAAATGTGTGTTTCTTGCCTATATTGCAACATTGGTATCATTTGTAGTTGATCTATAATAAAATTAAGTTAACCATTGCTTTTTAAGATCTGTGTTAGTTTATTGGCCACCCTGTTTGCCTGCTGGTCTGGTGGCTAAGCAATTGAATATCATTGAGATGGAGGTTAAAGAAACTAACTTTCTGGAATTAAAGTTTACTGGTGTGCTATTGATCATATCACCATTGGCATGCATTTGGTCTGTACAAATATGAGAGGAGCACCATATACCCAGTGTGTCACAAGGAATGGATAGTTTTCCTTCACTTTACTGACTAATTTTATTTTCTATTATCAAAGGGAATTATTGACCAAATTCAGAAGCACAAGCTCCTGTTCATTGAAACCCAAGATGCAGCAGAAACATCATTGGCATTGCTCAACTATCAGAAGGTAAGATGTCTGCTTCCACATGTGTCCAGCATTTGTATTATTTATAAAATGGAAGAATTAGTGCCTGTATACTCAAATCTTTCATATTTATATGTCACAAAAGAAAATGATATCTTATACATACTTTTATGTCTTCGTAGGGGCATTAATGACCACTTTTTAAAATGATATTGGATCATTTCATTTTTTACAAGCAAGTGCCAAACACATTAAGTGTTGTTGGGTGATGTTTTTTAAGGGTATTAGTTCAATCTTGGCAGCAATGCTGCTTTATTGACTGTGAGGACATTTGGAGTTTGTGGATAGAACCTGCCACCTAAAAGTGATGCAGTTATGTAACTGATATTCCTTTAGTAAAATGTATACACTGCAGTGCTTATTGGAAAACTTGTATGAGCAGTTCATTTGTACATCAGGCAACACAGGAAGTGCAATAAAAGAGGTGAATTTGGATATCAGGTCATAGTTTGATTGGTTGTGACCATGATTGGTTGTGACTGGTCAGAGGATCAGAGCTGACCAAGATAATTCTCCTGAGTGTTAGTTTGAGAAGCAGGCTGCTTCAGTGCAGTCTGGCTGAGGGTTTGAGCTACTTTAAATGGCGTACTGCAGTTGAATTTTAAGTGAGTGAAGTTTGTAATGTTTAAATATCTATTTTACATTTGTATGTTTTAAAATGTCACAGACTTTGAATATCTAGGCTGTATAATAAACAGCAATGGAGACTGTTCAACAGACATTAAAAGGAGGATGGCCATAGCAATGCAAAGATTGAACAGCCTTAAAAGTCTATGGTTAAGCACATACAAGGAGATAAAAATTAGAATTTTGAGAGCATGCATCTTCCCTGTGGCTACATACGGATGTGAGTCGTGGACTATCTCTCAGTCCTTGAGAAAGAGAAAAGGGGCTTTTGAGCTGAAATACTATAGAAAGATTCTCAGAATATCTTGGACAAAGAAGAGGAGATATATTGACGTCTTAAAAGATCTGAACATCAAGGAAGATTGGCTTATAAACAGCATCCTTTCTCAAAAACTGAAATATTTTGGTCATATCAAGCGCCACAACGGATTGGAAAAAATTATAGCAGAAGGCATGGTACCAGGAAGGAGGGACAGGGGCCGACCGACACGAAGATGGGCACAGGATATAAGTGACTCCTTGAGTATGAAATACATGTGGCGGGAGAACTGGCGAGAGACCAAGTTTCTTTCAGGAAGACTGATGAGAGCGACATTCTGCAAAGGATCTGCTACATGATGATGATGATGTTTTAAAAGACACACTACTGCCGCCCTCAGTGTTTGATATTTAAAAACTATTTGAAATATTTATGTTTATAATAAGAAACTTAAGTGCACTCATAAACAAATAACAATAGCTAGACATGACCTTATCTACTCTTCACTCATGGGGATTTAAAACAAAAAAAAAATAGTTCGGCAGGGATGTATCATATCCCCTAGCCTTTTCAGTTTATCTACAGAAAACTTTTTAAAAACAAGATGGGTGAACAACATTCTGAGAAAGTGTACAACCATGACTGGGGCTGCTGGAGACACAGGGGTGCTGGAGATTCATTGCTGCCAGCCTTTATTGTGTAGATGTGGTCGAATTAATTGAAGTGGGCATGGTAGTTTATACTAATTATAGTACAAATGGTTTGTAGGATTGATGCTAGCACATTTAATGAGGGCTTTTATCTGCATAAATATTTGAATGTTGTATTACTTTCCAAGGCATGTGAAAATGGACGTGGAGCTGTTCTTCTGTCCGTTGCCAGGGGAAAAGTTTCTGAAGGAATTGATTTTGGTAAGCATGTGGTCTTATTTTCTGTTAACTTATAACTTCATCTTAATTCTGTGCTGCTTTCTTTTCTTGATAAATTTCAATACAGCTTTTTAATCGTTATTCACTTCATTCTGCATATTCCAGTAAATTCATATAAATCCTAAGAAGGATACTAAACCTATATCTTACAGACCAATTGGCTATTGGTGGGTAATGTGGTTAAAAGCATCCAGGTCATCTCTACTTCCCAGGACTTTACCTTGTACCCATTTTAGGCTTGGGAGCCAAGATCATTTTTAAAAAAAAAATCCATCTCAATGCGAATTTGAACTCATGACCTTCAGGCTGGAAGGCAAGTATCTAACAGCTACACCAAGGCGGCTCCTGTGGCTGCCTACAAGTGACATTGCAAGACATAATTTGGAGAAATTATAGAGGATATCAATTTAAAGTCATTATTTTTTAGGATTGTGAATGGTTAAAAATAAAAAAAAAATGTCACTTTAAGATTTTTAGTCATTATGCAAGGTTTGAACTTCACAGCAAAGAGTGCTCCATTCCTGTGCCAGTGAAAATCAGAAAAAAATTTCCTTCACTGTAAAGTAGTTTTAAAAAGACAATATCAATCCTAGAAGAACCTAGAAGGTGACACACGGAAGCTAATGCATAAGGCAGTTGTCAGAAGTGCGAATACCAAGTTCCACATTAGAATTGCAACTCATGTTGCTGTTGATGCAGGCAGGCAGTTCCAAAATCTGGCATTGTACACGGAATATTGCATAAGCACATGCCATTCAGAATGTTCTCAGCAACCTGCTATTTTTAGTGCAGTCACAACACAAAGCCATCACAGCACAAAAGAAAACTTTCCACATGAAATCCATACCTCACAATGTTGCATTAGGCACTCATCTCAGTAGCTGGATGAGAGAACCTTTGGTCTCCTGGCCCAGTAATGCAGAATTTGCATCAGCAAACCCTGGCTGAAAACATAACTTTTCAGAGCATTAGTGGTCAGCCAGCAATCTGCCTTATTGTCCAGAAGTTCATCGGGCATATAGTCCTAGCCCCATGTTTGTATAGATCAATCAGCACTCAGTGTGTGATGTGGTCAACATCCTGCTGACTGCCTTTTCTTCCCAGGACCTTTCTTCGTATCAGTTGTAGCCTGGTTTGAACTGAGAGCCCTAGTCAGTTATAAAATTCTGTTTCAATGCTAAACTGAACCCAAGACCTTATGACTGACAGGCAAACGTCTACCCACTGCCCTGCTGCAGATGTCTCTATTAAAGTAACTGTTTAGAGATTGGAGCACAGAGAAGACATTGTCAGACAGAAAATACATTTGTTTAGCTGGCTGCCTTTTGTTTCAGATCATCACTATGGACGTGCAGTAATTATGTTTGGTGTTCCCTATGTATACACACAGAGTCGAATTTTGAAGGTAGGTGATCATGTTTGTTTCTTTCAGATATTTATATTAAATGATAATTTCTTGCCATGCAGCTGAGTTTTTTTTTCCCAAGTTTTTTTTTCAAAGAGTGATTTAATACAAGGGCATTTGATCTGCTAAAGTTATTTCTGCCAAGAGCTGAATTGACATAACGAGATGAAAAGATGTGGGCAAGAACACTTCACTTTTTTTGCAGTAACCACATAAGAAAGATATAGTGAATTTCTGCATCTGAATTTCTGCATCTGCCAAAATTCACCATATTAGCACACCTCCTAACCTAGGGTCCTGTGTTCAGATTCCAAAAGACCATTTGCCAGAAGGCAGGATTTGGTTTGGCACAACGTTTCACAGACATCCTAAAATAACTACCAGAGAATATTCTGTAAAGTATAGTGACTGTTGAGGTGCTGACCACTTCATCTGTCATGTGATGTTTGGTCAAGAAAGTATGGACCTTATTCTCTTATCTGAAAGCAGCTGTTGTAACACAAAGGCTAGGACATTGTGGTCACACATTTGAATCTCGATCTGAGATAAAGATTTAAACAAAAATGTCCCGGAGTTCCCAGATCAACCAGGCACAGGAAATGTTCTGAAAAGTAAAAAGTGTTTAGTATGATATTGACTCTATTACCCTAGTTGCGTCAGGGCTGTGAAAAGGGTTCTTCGCCTTAACCTTGTTTAGAAATTATAGTAAAATTCTCATGTAGAATTCAGTCTATTATTCTTTGACTGTAATGTTATGTTGTGATATTTACACTGTTTCACATTTATGTTGGTCATGATTAAGAGATACTTCTGTGAGGTCTGTATTTGCTGGTCATCAGTTGCTCTCAGTTAACCTGCAAGATAGCAAATGTGTCTCTCTTAATCATGTATGCCAACCTTTCACCCAAGTTTTGAGACCATAATAATAGCTTGCTATACACCTGCATTCCTGTGATTATGACTCTGAGGTTGGTCTGGGGTCTGTATAGGAAAATGTATAATATACCTCACCATATACTATTTCTAAAGACAGAAATGGGTCTATGGCCAACCTGCATTGTGGAGATAGCACATCATTGTTTTTTAATTTTCATAACTTTCTCACAATTGTCTGAAAAAGAAAGCTATAGAGGAAATGGACTAGTCACCACACCCACCATAATATGTTAATGATGTTGACCACATTACCACCTGAATTCCTGATAGTCTCAAAAAAGGGTGCCTGTCACCATATAGCCAATATCTTTCAAGGCATGAACAATGTCCTTGACTTTTACATCAACAGTATTTTATGTCAGTGTCACCTCCATATTATAAAGCTGTAATATCCAAGACAGAGCCAATAACTTATACAGGAGCCGACTGTTCTGGAAACATTGAAGCTGTCAAAATGACTGGTGTTTGTGAATGTTCACTACCTATATGTACACATCAGGGAGGTGCATTGTTAACAGTGGTGATCTAATTCTCATCAAGGCTCGCTTAGAGTATCTGCGTGATCAGTACCAAATCAGGGAGAATGATTTCCTGACCTTTGATGCCATGCGCCACGCTGCCCAGTGTGTGGGCCGGGCACTTCGAGGAAAAACTGACTATGGCATCCTGATCTTTGCTGATAAGGTGAGTGAGCTGTTGACAAGTTGATGGTTAATCTGTGCCTTGTTTGTTGCCCCTTAATGGGGCTGTATAATTTTGCAAGTAATTAACAACAGGTTACTTCATAAATGTAGTGTTGCTGAGTTTAACTTTTATATGGTTAAATAGGATTGCAGCGATTTTCTCCTGATGAATTCACATCAAAATAGTGGCTCTTGGAGCCACTGAAAGTCATTCTTTCAGGCTGCCATGCTGGCCAGGTTAAATTATAAAATGAGTGGATGATTCAGGTGGCAATGTTCAGTTGGCAACACTCAAAAGACAATACAAACTGCGGGTCAAAAGAGGTGTTGCCAGATACGAACACCTAGGTAACCAAAGAACAATTGTAAACAATACTAGTTAACAACACAGAATTGTTGTTATTAGTGGCCACATGTTGGGAGATGAACTGAAGATGGTATCTGAGCACTTATGGACTTGTTCAGTGTGCATTGAGGATAATCTGTGGTTTAGCTAGCTAACTAACTAACCAAATCCTCAGGCTCAAAGATCCGCCCGTCCACACCACAGAACTGGTAAATAGAGGCAGTAGTGCAGTCTTTGTGCATGTGGCGGTAATGTTAGTTTTGTGTGTGTGTGACAGTAATGGCATTTTGTGTGTGTGTGTGGTCAGTAATGGCATTTTGTGTGTGTTTGGCAGTAATGGCATTGTGTGTGTGTGTATGTGACAGTAATGGCAGTTTTTGTGTGTGTGGCAATACTGGCAGTTTAGTGCTAGTGGCAGTGATGACAGCTTTTTGTGTGTGGCAGTAATGGCAGTTATTGTGTGTGTGGCAGTAATGGGAGCTTTTGTGTGTGTGGCAGTAATGGGAGCTTTTGTGTGTGTGGCAGTAATGGGAGCTTTTGTGTGTGTGGCAGTAATGGGAGCTTTTGTGTGTGTGGCAGTAATGACAGTTTTTGTGTGTGTGTGGCAGTTTTTTTAATGTCTGACAGTAATGGCAGTTTTGTGTGTGGTATTAATGGTGTGTGCATGGCAGTTTATTATGTGTGGCAGTAATGACAGTTTTGTGTGTGGCAGTGATGACAGTTTTATGTGTGTGGCAGTGCCAGTTTTGTTTTTATGGCAATGGCAGTTTTTGTGTGCTTGGCAGTAATGGCAGTTCTGTGTGTAAAAGGGTAAAATCGGGAGATATGAACCAGCGTCATTTCACATGGTTATAAACCATACATGCTTTGCCACCAGTACGGACAGCTGATAATATACTGTCCGCCTGTGTCGCTGTCCAAACCTAGCTCCATAGTTACAGCGACGTTCCTCCATTTACCCCAGAGTGCAGTCTGGTAGTCTTGGTTTCAGCTTCATAGCAAACGGGTCAACATATCTTTGCTCCGCTCCTGTGCCAACGAAAAACACATGGAATGTTTATCACAATCCCTTGTGAAAAGATTGACAGACTTCTGTCTCAGCATATCTAGCATACACACGCATTAAAGCATACAGTAGCCATCCAGAGTGCTAACACAGACAGTCCGACATTAGAAATGCAATTCATCATTGATGGTAACTGAAGTCACCAACAGATCAGCAGTTGCACACGCAATCAATTTTAATCACATACGGGCACCACCAACTTTGCCATGAGCGGCATCGCGCCATGTTCTGAATCTACAATTCACACCACCACGTTGGTCACAGTAAAAAAAAACTTTCAAATGAAATCTACAGCTCACAGTGTCACGCCATGCTGGGCGACGAAACTATATCCAGTCTACAAATGGAGCCAAAATGCATTAGCCACCGTCCGGCAGAAGCAAAAAATTTGCCTCGGCTCCAAACAGTGGCCCTGCCTAGCGTCCATTTAGAACCTGGGTTTTGCATGCACATCCACTCTGTTAACTCTGGTGCCCATTACCTAGAGGCTGGGTGAACCCCAGGAAACCGCCCGGTTTCAAACACTAGCCGGCTGCAGCGAGTCCCAGCTGGATTTGAAAGTGAGTCTGCTATCGACTGCGCCAACGCAACCCCAGTTCTGTGTGTGTTGCAGTAATTGCGGTTTTTGTGTGTGTGGCCGTTTGTGTGTGTAAGTGTGTGGTAGTAATGGTAGTTATGTGTGTTTTTGTGTGTCAAAAATTGCAGCCTATTTTCTTCAGGATGTGCAAACCAGTTCTAGCATTTATTGGCTGTTATGTGGTTTTATTTGGCAGTTTTTCATTTGGCAGTTTGCCTTTATCTGCTGAGTAGTGCTCATACAGTTGTAAAAATTAGCCAGTTCGCCTGCAGCTTATTTTAGTCCTGGTATGTTGGGTTTGTAAAACTGCATTCACAACCCCTAAGCAACAGATGTCACCATTGTTTAGAAGGATTCTAAAGCACCATAGAGGACAACAGCAAAACTGGCTTCAGCTAGACATATTTGTATAACTTCTGGTACAAATTTGTAAGAGATTGTTATTTCACTGTTGAACATAAAATATATTGTGCCAATTTCAGAGATTTTCCAGAGCTGACAAGCGGGGGAAAATTCCACGCTGGATTCAAGAGCATCTCACAGATAACCTTTGCAACCTCTCCATTGATGAAGCAGTTCAGGTGGCTAAAAGATTTCTCAGACAGATGGCCCAACCTTTTAGCCAGGTAATCATTATTTGATTCTTGTTAATTAGCTGTAAAACTTGCAGAAAGGTTGTTTTTTGTTCACCCACTTTTGCATGCTAATCTTATCCCAGAACCTGAGTTTTACATGCACATCCACTTTACAAATCTGACTTATGTGTATGCAGACTGTTGTTTCCTCACCTTTGAGGCAGATGCACTGACTTCAAAAGAAACATCCTTAATTAGTCCTACTCTTACCTTATATGTGTTCGGAGGCAGTGGATTTATCCCTACCTCCCTCACTCTCCCCACAATGGGGCCCTTAACCCCACACAGGGAGTCTTGTTATTGAATTACAGCTACTTTACAGTTTTCATGTGCAGAGCAAAAACAATGCTAAACATAATTATATGACTTCAGTTATGCTGGAATTCAGGCAGTATTCATTTTCAGCTCATTATAAATCCAATTTCACTACAGGCTTATATTTGTTCAGTGCATAGCTGTCTCTGGTATGCTGAGATAGCAGAACACCCTCTGATGTGCAGATGAGTACACTTTCTCTGATATGCTAATATGTCAAAACTGTCTTTAATTCTCGTAGTAATGAGTTAAAACTTCCTCTGATATGTACATATGTCACAACGTTCTTTAATTCTTATAGTAATAAGTTAAAACTTCCTCTGATACGCACATATGTCAAAACTTTCCTTGATTCTCATAGTAATGAGTTAAAACTTCCTCTGATTTGCACATGTGCAAAACTTTCCTAGATTCTCATAGTAATGAGTTATAACTTCCTCTGATACGCACATATGTCAAAACTATCTCTGATATGCTAACACAAGGTCAGATAATTAAGTAATGAGACTAATTCCATAAAAATTAAAATAATCAACAGTTGAAGATATAACCTGTATCTGATTCAAAGTAAGCCCCTTGTGCATTGATACAAGTGGCACGATCTAACAAACACTAGAAGGACCTCTGTAGTTCTTCTGTTGTTATGGCTCTTAAAGTCAATGCTACAGCCCTTTGGATGTCATCAATATCGTCCTTTCAATCGTAACTTTAATTTAGGGAATAGAAAATAATCACAGGGAGACAAATCTTATGAATATGATGAAAGGCTGAGAACACACACTTGTTTTTGGGTCAAAACTTCTTGTTTCGATGATGTCTTTTGTGTTCTCAACGCCAGATGTTTTTGGTATTCAGACAATAAATGTGGTAAAAACCGAAAAGAAACTTTTTTCTTGCAAAAATCTTGCACTAAAATGTTATGAAAGGTCTCTCTATTAACACCAGATTCATCTGCCATCATCCTCACAGTAAAACAATGATCTTCTTGTATCCATTCTCTGACTTTTGCAATGAGATCATCATTACGAATATAAATATGGCTTCCAGGTCTAAGTGCGTTAGTAATCATTTCCACGCTATTTTTGAATTGTGAATACCACCTGAAAATTTGTGCATGAGATAAACAATTTTCCCCCATAAACTTGTTGCATCAATTCAACTGTTTCAATTGCGCTTTTTTCAGAGTTTTAAAAAGAATTTAATAATGTTAGCTTTTTGCTCTTTGCTAATTAAGTAACAATGCACCTGTGACCAGGTCAACAAAATGGGGGCTTGTTTGTTGTCTGCTTATCAAGCGGCTATGAAAAGTTGCCCGATCATAGATGAATGTTGCCTTTTTAGATTATATGCTTTGCTTCATAGATGGCATTGTTGTTTTGGCCATAATAAAAATCAGTCTCATTACTTAATTGTCGGACTTTGTATGTCAAAACTTTTTAAAAATTTAGTAAGGAGTTAAAACTTCCTCTGATATGTACATATGTCAAAACTTTCCTTGATTCTCATAGTAATGAGTTGAAACTTCCTCTGATATGTAAATGTGTCAAAACTTTCCTGAATTCTCGTAGTAATGTGTTAAAACTTCCTCTGATATGTCATCATCATTATTATCAGGTGCTTTGCCGACTGGCGTGGGCGATCATGCCCTCCACAGTCTGCAATGTCCTGCAGCATGTATCAGTTTGTGTGCCTACACACCTCCATGCCATTCAACAAGACTGTCAAGAATTCTCTCTCGTTGTCTTTTTCTATCCCTCCTTCCACAGATCTTTCCAGTGGTCACAACATGTTCTATTTTCCCTCTTCTCGTATGGCCAAAAAATGGTGACTGTCTCATTCTGATGTCTGTTAAAGGCTGTCTTTGAATTCGTAATATTTTGAGGCATGATTTACTAGGGATACTACAGCCGTGGTTTCCACTTGCCTTCCGCCGGCTTGTATATGGTTTGACTCCAATAATAGCCTGTCTTAAGAGACTTACCCTGTAAGGCAGCAGGGGGAAGAGGTTATGGCGCCTCTTACCCGCCGATGGCCAGACGATGAGAGACGAGGAACCAACAGTCTGCATACAAGTAAGCAGATCTCTAAAAGGGATGTGCATGCAAAATTGAAATAAGACTAAAGTCCAGAAGTGGATAATCAACCAGAACTTTCCGCAAGAGTTTCAGCTGGTGAATGCTAAGAAGAAGATTGCCAGAGCTATGTGTTCATGCAACATTTGTTGGCAGGCGCAAGTCATTCTGTGGATGAGACTGACCAGTATAGGAGAAAAACTTGGTGCAGTTCATTTAGTTGTCTCGTTTTAAAAATGTGATATACTAATAAGGGCAGAACAAGCCTGAGTATCTTTGCAACTAAGCAGATTTGTATTTTCCTTCTTTGCTTGGTTTCTGGTCACTCTGGCTGCACATTTAGATAATTCCTTAGTGCTAGAACCTCCTTCCATAGACCACAGTGAGAATCCAGATATGGTGCATGAACTCTTCTTCTTTAGATTTTTTTTTCTCCCAACTGCCAGTAATGTTTAAGTCTCTGAATCCCAGTTAGTTATGATACTACACTTCCTTGTCCTAGCCAGTGATTTAACAGTTGTCCCATGCAGCTCATATTTAGCATGCTGGTGATCATTGGCAGCTTATTGTTTTTTAAACTCCACATGGCTTGGGTGTTTATTACTTCAAAGTAGCAGCTAGCTAATGCAGAGCAAGTGAGGAAAGTGTGAAGTTCTGCTTGGGACAGAATGATTGAATTAATTGCTCACTTTTGCTTAAGGACTTGGCTGTTTACACTATTTCAAAGTCTTCCCCATAGACGAATGTCCAATATGGACCTAGAATTCAGAACGCTGAACACATCCTTCAGGTCAGCCTCGCTTACAGAGCTGTGTAAACCTGACTAGAGAATGCCCAACTTTCTGCATGGACCTGGAGAAATGTATGATCTTTATTCTGGCAGCAAGGATACATGCACAACCAGTAATCTTAACACTAGCAATCATTTGACTATTTGCGCCCTGAGCTCCTTATTTGTCTGCTCTTCTTTGAGAAGGCTAGGATGCCTGGTGCAGTGTCCTAGGTTTTGGAGTTAATTTACTTTCACTATGTTGCTAATTTATAACCGTGTGATTTGTATTGTTTTCTCAAATTCACGCAGGCTTCATAACCCTGAGCCACTCTGCATCATGCTGCCATTTTCCCCTGAGTTTTTAAATTACATAGATTTACATTTTAAAAATATCCAACAGTAATTACAGAATGTTTGAATTTTTGCAGGAAATTTTGTAAAGGTACTTTTAATTTTTATTTTTTAATATCAAACAATAATAAGAGTAATGTTTTTTCTCATGAAAGTGTACTTTTGTTACATAAAGTGACATCTTTTTCACAACAATAAGGGCAAGTATATTTGTCTAAAAATGTATTCAGGGAAGGATGGGTATGGTCACAGCTAACATGACTGATGCTACAACAGAGCCTGTTTTTTCTCTTCTACAGAAAGACCAGCTGGGCTTGTCCCTCCTGACTCTTGAACAGCTTCAATCAGAAGAAACACAGAAGAAAATTGAAAACAAGATTCAGCATGTCTGAAACACTACAATTTGCTGCAAGGAAGTTAGCTGGAGATGATAATTTGCAACTTGTCATGTCATTCAACTTTTGAAAAATTGATGTTATTGTTTTTGATATTCTAATTAAGGAAGCATGGAACTGAAGTTGTCATCTAGAGTTGCTTACCATGGAGCATGTTAAAGGGGTGATTGTTAGAACATGTATATCCATGACTGGAAGTGGCATCAACGATGACTGTTTTTGTGTGCATGTCAGAAAGCAATGAAGATACCACCATATTATTTGTCAGATTGCACACAGAGTTTACTGTGAGTTCATGCTAATAAACTATGTTTTCACTGTGATTAGCATTCACAATGTATGTTAGAAAGTGATTTCATGAACCGGCTTCTTGTGTTGTTGATGCTGTTGATTGGACCCATGTACATTAAAATGTAATTGATGCCAAATGTAAGGCTTTGTCTTGTTTTGTTAATTCTAGCAACTTACAGGTCATAGTGATGTAAGGGCATTAGTGACGTTTCTACTCTTCTGTGATACATTAATTGTAGATTATTATGCAATCAAAATATTGCAGTCTAGTGGTAAATCACAACACAACATCTGCTTTTTAACTCTTTTGAGTCCCAAGGAAGACATCATATGCTCATAAGTTCCTACCTAGAAGCCCAATTAACACAAGATGCGTCGATTTTAGTGTCTCTTCACTACCCCTTGAGCCTGTGATGCTAAACCCCCTGGGACTTAAAGAGTTAAGAGTAGAAGCAGAAAAAGAACAACGATTTCATCAAAGAAAATGTATCTGCATGTACACACAAAAACTGAAGTCAGTCTAAAAAATTTCATACTTTATTATTATTTCAATATGATTTGTTTGGCTACAAATTTTCTGAAACAAAATATTTATACATGATAAAAAGAGAATGCTGCAACATGATATAAAGACAGTTTTACATTTCTAAGATAGTGCATGTGGAATGTTAAAGTCTTACTGGCCTTAACAGAAACCAGCTAGATTAAAAATCTCACAACCAACATACTGGTAATAAAACATTAGCCGTTAATTTAAGGACACATAATGGAATGCATTTTTCAGGTATGTAGTTATGAAAAAGTAAAGGTTTCATTTCATGCCATTGGCTCATTTATTTTATAGTTTCAGACCCATATTTTCACAGGTCAGCTGGCACTTGATGGGTGATGAGGTCGGCATTACACTGACTATCTTTATTCACCAGGAAACTTCTTGGTAGTCATTTTAGGCTGGATTGACACAGAAGCCAAGATCAATTGTAAAATCCTGCTTTGATGCATATTAGAACTCAAGACCTGTTGGCCGACAGGCAGACATCCAACGACTGTGCAGCCACAGATCCTGATGCGGTAGGTAGCCAGTTATATATTGTTGGAACCACGCCAAAGTCATCAATGTGTACCTGTGATGATTTTTACTTGAGTGCCTGCATTTTCAGGTCTGTTGTTTGTTACTTTACAATATGCCAAAGGCACACAGTGAATACCTACTGCTGAAGTATTACTTTTCATGCATCTAAAGAATTGTCAGAGAGATCTCAATGTTCAGTTTCTTGAAACAAGCAGCACTTGGGTGATTCTGGTGTAGTGCCAATAATATGTGCTATATATGTGTTTGCCTGTTTGGCCAGCTCATATAATGTTATCTGACCAGAAGTATATTTCTTCAGAATACTTTCAATAAACATGTCCAGAAATGTTGAATTTATCTGCACTAAATACAACAATGAATTCAACGAGCAGCAAAATGCAATCATTCAGAATTATGATAATTACACATAATTTTACTCTGCAATAGTTTGTATTTTTCGATTAAAACAATGGAAGCTTAGTTAACTGTCCACAAAACATGAAGACAAGGAATATAAACTCACAACCAGCTGATGTGTCACAAGGAGAAAATATAAAAACTATAAATATACACTATATACAAAATATGATTAGTGCCGATTTGCCTGTAAAAAATATGCCTGATGCGTCTAAAGGCGTAAAAAGGTTTTTTTTTTTTTTTTTTTTTTTACTCACTTTACTATATACAGTATAATGGTGAATATATTACATTTGGAATGTATTGAATAATGCCACGTGTCTCGGGCTGACAAAATATTCTATCATCAACAGAGGTACTGATATGTGACCTATAGATTAATAAATATATACATCTGTACAAGTCAAACAACACAGCTCCCTCCCTGAGTGTGTCAGTCAAACATATTTCAACTTACATAACATACAAGATCAGTTATTTCATGGACATATTTGCCCAACTGCTTTAGAGCAGGGGTGGGCAAACTGTTCCACCAAGCAATTTGTACTGGCCTGCAAGGCTGGGGTAAAATTAGCAGAACACAAAAACATGCAGAAATAAAAAAAAAATCCAAACCATGCAGAAATTTAAACAAAATTAATAAAAAGGTGATAACCTAAACAGTGACATCTAGAAAATCATGTCATCCAATTTTTTTTATTCTGCTGATGATATCCCTCCATGGCATCGTTTCAGTCCATCCAGCATCATCTCTCTTGGTCTGCCTCTATGCCTCTTTCCACTTACCTTTTCAGTTGTCACGATGTTTTCAAATGCCTCTCTTCTCATTAAATGACCAAAAATAAAGGAGTTTGTCTCCTGATTGTTGTATACAGAAATCTACTTTCATTAGCTTCTTTCAAATAATCGTTGTTACGGATAAACATGGGCATTGGGAGGCAGTGTCTATTAGCAGACTTTGATAATAAAATATATGGCGATGGCTGCTTTTTCTCTGGTCAGCAAGTTTATAGATCAACAGAGTGCGGTAACCTTTCTTGGCATCAGTTTAGTGGGGATTTTTTCTTCATCTCTAGTGACTAGGTTGGTAACTAAATTTGGCCTGCAGACAAATAAACAAAAAAGCTGCCCACCCCTGCTTCGTAGAAAACAATGCAAAAGATGCTGTCAGCCCATTGTAATCAGAGTTTGTCAGTTTGGATTTTCTTAGTCTTGCTCAACAGCATCAGAAACAACCCTAGAAAACTGAAGATCAATTTAGAATACTAGAAAAAGCACTCAGAAGATAGATCCTTACACTTGCTGAGGTCATTGTTAAGAGACTTTAAACAAACAAACATTTAAAAAAAAAAATTAATAATAAAAATAAAATTGACAATAAATATTGTAGCCACATTAAAAAACATTTATAAAAAGCATACTGGAAAGAAAAGTGGAAGGCAGATGAGCAAGAGGTAGATGATACAACTGGGAAGATAACATCAAGAGATCAATCAGCCAAGTCAGAGAGAGTGTACAAATAGGGTGATTACTGGAGAGCCACTGCAGCCAGCCTTTCTTGTGGAGATTAGTGCCAGATTTTTGCAAGAAAAAAAGTTGCTTGCCGGTTTGTATCACATTCATTGTCTGATAACCGAAAACATCAGCCGGTTGAGTACCCAAGAGAAATCATCAAAACAAGAATTTTTGGCCCCAAAACAAGTGTGTGTTCTCAGCCTTCCACCCTATTCCCCAGATTGGTCTCCCTGTGATTATTTTCTATCCCAAAATTAAAGTTACAATTGAAAGGACACTTCTTTAATGATACTGATGACATCCAAAGGGCCATAACATCAACTTTAAGGGCCAAAACAACAGAAGAGCTACAGAGGTCGTTCCAATGTTTGTTAGATCGTGCCACTTGCTGTATCAATGCACAAGGGGCTTACTTTTAATTAGATACAGGTTATATCTTCAACTGTTGATTATTTTAATTTTTATGGAATTAGTCTCATTACTTAATTGTTGGACCTTGTATTTTGCTGATAAGAATGAAATTTGAACTAAATAACAACTAAGAAGAGACAAGGAGATAGTGTGAAAGTAAATGGGCAGAAAATAAAACTGGCAAAGCTTAGCTCAATGAGTAAATAATATCACTAAAATATGAGAATTATACCAGTGTTAATAAAGTCACACACATACTTGCGTGCATCTGCGCTCTTTATTCTTGTTGAGGTCTAAACTCTGGAAGTAACTGAACACAACATAAACTCTAAGAAGCTCGACAATGGAAGGCTTCTTGTCATAAGCTTGACTGCAGCTATTCTTATGTTTTTGACATCACATTTTGTACTCTGGAGGCTGTTCAAGACAAGGATACTGAGCAGGTGACTGCACATAAAAAATTGCCTACTGTTGAACTTGGAAGCAAAATGTCTCAGAGAAGACCACCTGTAAGGGCAACAATCAACAGAAGAATAAATCTGGTGGATGCTTGCCATCAATGCTGATATTGCATACATGGATTCAGAGCCAGCCACTTTGCTAAGTTTGCTTCTCTTATCACTGCTGTAATGCAAGGACAGGAAACTTTTGTCTTCTGCAAATGGCCATTTAACTATTTATTTATATATCATTTTGCCATGCAGCCAGACAACCAGCTTCCTTCCCAGAGAAGTCTTTGTACCTGTGCTTCAAAGTCTTAATTGAGAACTGAACCCAGTACTGGTTGGTCAGTGTGCTATCTTGAGTCTCCCACAGTTAGGCTGGTGATGGTAAAGTTGTAACACACATTGCAACATATACACATGAGCAGTACATCAGGGAAAATGCACGAGCTGAGATTCTTAAAATCTGACCTGTACAATAAGACACCTCTCATAAAATTAACCGTAAAATGAGTTCTTGAATAACAAACAAGTAAACAATTTTATATGGTTATTAAATATACTTTTTAAAAGTTAACAATAGATGCATATTATATAAAACATAAATCTGCATATCACAATCTGTAACTTCTATATATATATGAAAATAGGTATTTAAAATGTACTAATGATATATGGAAATTACATTTCATTTTTTGTTTTTTAAATCACGAATTGAAAATATCTGTAACATACAAGTGTAGAAAATAGAAAAGACAATTATTGAAAGATTTAACAGACTATGGAAATTAGCACGTGTCTGGGTGATCACACTTATCGACAATTTGTAATTTCCAACAGCATGTTTA